CTGATGCAAGGGCCCCTTTAAGCGCCCACCTGAACAGCGCAGCCTTCATTTCCTGAGACTTCAGCAATGACCAGCTGCCCCTGCCCGTTAAGTAAGCAATCTATCTCTCTCAGCCCACAGTGCCCTGTGTCCCACCCCCCACCTGCACACACACCTGTCACATCAGTAATTAACGCAGGGAAGGGAAGGTGCACCCAGGTGAGCGGGGAGCTATCTTCCTGGTCCCTACCACTGTGAAGAAACGATTTAAATGGCAATGTCATGTCACACTCAGTGAGCTTGTCTTTAAACAGGCCAGGGAGGAGGGCAGCAGATATCCCTTCAAAGTCTCTCTTCCAACTCAAAGGTGAGGATTTCTACTCTCTGACTCTTTCCCTTAGCAGCTATGAGTGAATATGAATGTACGGCTTGTAGTGTACACGCTTATATGTACACACAGATGGGCACCCACAGGTGATCAGACCACGGCATCTGTGGGTTCTACATTCACAGATTCAAGCACCTGGGTCAAAATACCAAAATATTCAGGGAGGAATATTGCATCTGTACTACACATGCACAGATTTTTTATCTTCGTTCTTTAAACAATACAGTACAGCAATGACTTACAAAACACTACACTATATTATTAAGAATTATAAATCACCTATCTAGAAATAATTTAAAGCATATAGGAGGATGTGTGTAGGTACCATGCAAATACTATGGCATCTTACACAAGGAACTTAAGCATCCACAGGTTTTGGTATCTGGGAGTGCTGGGACCAATTTTCCAAGAGATGGTAAGGAATGACTGTGTGTGTCTTTTTTCTAGCTATGTGAAAACTGGTTTTGGAATGAATGCATAGGCCCTCACCCTTCAGCTACTAAAGTAACTCAATTATTTCTGCCATCAAAAATGGCCTTGCCAATACACAGTAGGAATGCCCTAGATTATACGTCTTTTCTACCAAGGCCTTGTGCAGGCTAAGACTAAGCTTTGCCACTGAGTTTCAAGATCACAGTTTTCTTTAAGCCAACTCTAGGAACAAGGATAGACTTGGACAAAGCATTCCTCCAATCCAAAAAACCTACAGATTGACTATGTGGTCACATACATATGCACCCAGATTTTTTGGCTTAATGGTATGACCAAGTGTTTACATTCATAAGAGGATAAAAAGCACTATAACTGTTCACAACAGAAGGTAAGAGTTTACATGTGATGTGAGATCATTCATTGTGATATGTCAATTGAGTAAGCCTTGTCTAACAGATCAATAAAGCTCTGGGTGTGTCTGTGAATGATTGACATGCAAGCTGCCAACAGAGGAGGGAAGACCCACCCCCAATGTAGGTGGTGCCAACCAATAGGTTTGTAGCCTGGATGGAATAAAAAGGGAAAGAAGGAAGTCTGCCCTTTTCTCTTCACAGGAGCTCTGGTCTTGACTGTTGCCTTGGAATGCCGTCTCCAGTTCCTTCAGGTTCCAGCACAGACTCTCCAGCCTTCCGCTACAGATCCTGCCACTTTCCAACACATACTGGCAGCAGAATCCACATAGTGCTCTAGGCCTTCAATTCCAGCTTGCCAGCATACAGACAGGCCTTTCAGATTCTACCACCTTCAATTCCACAGACAGCCATGGGACTCTTCTCCTTCTGATCCTGTAAGACTAGCTAATAAATCCCTTCTATAATTACATTTTATATTGATTTTGTTTCTCTAGTGAACCCTAATACAAGACACCTTCAGGAACTATCAGAAATATCAGCACAAATGTCATCAGTCTTCAGTTTATAAAATGAAACTGGCACAAAACCCCAAAGGCGACCTGAAGCTTGCACTGAAATCTACGTGAGCAAATTACCGTCTTTCCTCTATATTCCTAAATGTAGAGTAAACTACATCTGTCTTCCTTAGCAACCAGCACTAAATTATGACTATAAAGACATGGAGGAAAATAATTTTCCAACACAAAGAAAACAAAAGAGAGTCTCTTCATTTGTAAGGAATACATTCCCGCAGTCTCAGCTAATAAGGATGCCTAAGCAAAGACATTTTTTTACATCTTTATCATGGTAAAAATCTGAAGTATGGTGCAAATAATGTAACAGAGAAATTTAAGCAATGATTTTATACCTTGACCAAACATCTCAAAAGTTTTGTAAAAATCTCAAAGGTCCATCAGATCTGTTATCAGACTCTGCAAAGATTATTTTTTAAAGCTTCAAGTGGACTACAGTATATAGTCATAGTTGAGCACCACTATGGTAGAGATAATTTCATATGAGGTAGAGATAATTTTCAAGCTATCTTCCACATCAGAGAACTCATCTTAGCATGCTAACTGAGGCCCTTGATATACTGGGGAAAGAAGTCTTTGTCTTCTTCCAGACCTTGTAGAGGGGCTGAGGAACATGCACACCAAGGTTCCCCACTTAAAATACAACTCTCATGGTGCAGGGTCCAGGAGAGCCCTCAGTCTCTATTGCCCAGTAGCAACCCACTGGCAGCAATGTGACAGGCACTAAAGACAGGCTGCGGCATGAGCTAATACGCAGATCCAGCCGAGAACCAGTGTTAGGGGTTGCATCTACAATACCCCCAAAAGGCTCATGTGTTTGAAGTGCAGCTTTGGAAGGCGACCAGGTCATATGGGTACTATACTCATCAGGGCACTGTCCAGTGCTGATACCTTGCTGAATGTACAGTTAGGAAATGGGGCCTGGCTGGAAGAGGTGGATTGTAGGAGACAATCTGAGCACCTCTCCTTGAATGCAGAACAACTGCTACAACATTAGTGAAATTCTATATACTGATATGTCCCTTCTCCCTTCAACTGGCTCTAAGTGACGCAAATAAGGATAGCTGAGGGACTGGTACGTAATCCCAGAGGACAACTTGACAGTTGCCTGTTTCCTGGCATGGTGCTCTCTGAAAAAGATTGAAGCACAGTAGGATGCCAGAGCCATTCAGCTCCAGGAAGTCAGCTGGGCACAGTGGCTATGACTACTAAGGGCACAAAAGTTAACGTATCAGAAACTGAAGCAGTGGCCTCCCTAGTTCATTCAAATGCTATCCCAGTCTAGTTATGCAGACTGCATAGCTAGACTGCACTTCTTTCTGCATAGCTCTTTGCATATTACAAAGATGCTTTTCTCCCTATCTGAATAACCCTACCTGGATAACCAGCTCATGTAGTTCCCACCATCTTCCCTGTCGCTAATCCTCAAACCACTTCCTTCTTCATAAAATAATGAACTCTAGGAGAGGCCTTGGCTCAAGGCCTTTGTCTGTATATCCTCACTTGGATCAGGCTTAGGACCCCTAAGCTGCACTTAAGTTTGAATATATCTTGGTGTCTTTACTCTCGGCAAGGGTTGCATTGGAGATGGTAGATTGGAATTAACTTGCCAAGATTCCAATAATGTTTCAATGGGATTACAAATATAAATTTCCAAATTGTGAGGAAGGTTAGGAAAGGGGTCACAATACTTGGAATACAATATTCAATATTTGGGTTACGACAATAGGTCACTAGGTTGTGACCTGGAAGGCAGTGTTCTTATCCTGTTCCCTTCTACTTTCTCTGGTTCCGGTCCACTCTCTGTTTCCTGGCTGCCCTGTGTTACGCAGCTTTGCCCTGCCATGCCCTTCCACCATCCCATTCTGCCTCAGTGCTGGTGACCATGGACTGAACCCTCTGTGGGTCAAATAAACCTCTCTTCCTTTAAGTTGTGTGAATCCGGTATTTTGTCCCAGTGACAGGTACGTTAACTAACAGACAACACCACCTAGGGATGGCATGATTTTCAGAATATCACGTAACTCCTTAATGCCCCTTCTCAGGAGAAAGAACACTTTCTTAACAAAATATGGTGCAAAGAAATGAATGAGTAAGCTTCCTGGCTGTTTTCTTCTGTGATATTCACTTTATCTGAATAAAAAGAATTACACAGTGTTTACCATGGCTATGTTCCAGGCTTCCCCAACTGAAACCTGGCTTTAGATCATTTTTCTTGGTTTTCTTTGAAAGTAGATTTCTGCGGCAGCCATCCAGGGGAAGAACCACCCAGCATCTCCCAAGGTCTGTGCCATGTTGAAACTTAGGGTGCTGGGAAACCAAGCAACCAGCCAGCCAGCATTCCTGGTATGCGGGCTGAGAATCAAACATCTCATCCCCTCCCCGCTGTTAGCAAATGGGAGCCAGAGGTCTGAGCATCTCTTGGGAGGTTGACCATATGCAATATAGCAAATATGGGGGATTTCCTTCTTCCATCTCTTTGAAGGCAAATATTGTTATCACTGTTTTGCTTTGCTCTGATTAATTGTATTGCTCTATTCAATATTCTGTTTTGATGAGTTCTGTATTTTGTTTGATTTTGCCATACCTGATTGAAAGAACAACTACTGTGAAGGTAATGAGATATACTAAGGCACCTATAACTGTTATCCTGGTAACCTGTTGTGACGTTCTATACAATTTCACTGCACTGTCTCAATAGGCTTTATTCTGTCTTGTTCTGTTGTATCTCATTACCTTCAAAATAATAATAATAAAAGTTTTGAAAGTAGATTTCTGATGGGGATGGATACAGCAGAATGTATTTTACAGCTCCACTGCAATCAATGCATATTTGTTTAAAGTTTAAAGGCAAAATTTTACCCCAAAAGTTACACATTTTTAAAAATATTGTTTTAAATAACAGAAATATTTTAAATGTGAATTTGGAAAGACAGGAAGAAGCTGTATAGAGATGTTTAAAGATTAATATTTTTAACAAGTGCTTATTTAATTTAAAAAAAGCAGGCTAACTTTAATGATACTTTCCAAAGTCAACCCTAGAAGTAGGCTCTGCTCTGTGTACTTCATATGCCATAAAAGTAAGTACTGGAATCAGGCTGGTAAAGTCCAATTTGGATCTGCACATGTGAGCTTGCCTCACCTATGCGAAGTGCCCCTGACCTCCTTCTGTGCCCAACCTCATTTCAACACCGAAAGATGAAGCAGAGAACCTACCTCCTGGGAGAAGAAAGTGGAACCTGCTGCACTACTAGTGGGAAGGCAAAATGTTGCAGCTGCTGTGGAAAAGTGTGCAGGCTCCTAAAAAATTAAACACAGGATTACCCTGTCACCCAGCAGTTCCAGAAGGGGTTTACACCCACAAGCACTTGACCAGACATACATGTACCCATGCTCACAGCTGCATTATCCACAATAATCTTGAAGTACAAACAACCCAAGTCCACTGACACATGAATAAGCAAATAAGTGGTAAATACACACAACACAATGCTCTTCAGCCTTACAAATAAGGGGAACTACAACAACATGGACGAATCTTCAGGACACGGTGCCAAGTGAAACACAAACACCGTGTGATGCCATATAGACAACAGCGTATGACAGCGTATGACAGTAGATACATTTACAGAGATGGAAAGTAGAACGGGGCTGCCGGGGTGGGGGCTGAAAGAATGGAGAGCTGGCGTTCAGCAGGTAAGGAGCTGCAGCGGGGAAAGGTGGAGAGTTCTAAAGACGACGCTGGTGAGGGCTGCACGTGATACAGCTCATCCCAATAAACCACACTCGCACAATCCATGCAGTGATTTTTATGTCATGTACATTTTAGCACAATAAAAACATTAAAATGTAATTTGGAGGTAATGAAGAACAGTACCCAACCCACAGAGTGGCAGGGGTTAAGCCCGTGGGAAGCACATGATGCGTGCCTGGCACATCACAGGTAAACGTCAGCACTGCCCTTGCAGCTCTCAGTCCAAACTACAGAGTTCTCAGGCTAACGGTGTTCAGGGCCAACTTGGATCCTCAACCCTCAGAGCTTCTACAAGGAGAAATTTCCAGATGGGAACCTTTTTGTAGCATAAATCTGTTTTACTGAAATAAACTACCAGTTAAATAAGAAATGCCACCTAATTTCAGAAGTGAACTTTCACACCTTACCTAAAGCTTATGCTAGTGCATAGAAACAACTCATTTCACTGCCTTCCCTTCTAAAGGGCTTATTAATAACTTTGACTCAAAATCAGGTTCACAAATAAAGGCTATCTTGGGAAACTGATAATAGGGAGGAGAAAAGAAAGTCCCTCCTCCATTCATAAATATTCTTCCACTTTTTATCACAAGAAAAACCATTTTACTTCTCTTTGATACTTTCTTAAAACATTTTACTATGGTTTCCAAGTATACATAAAAGTAGGGTTCAACTAGCCCCTATGTAACCACTTCACAACAAATTCAAGCTTTTTTACTCAAACATTTAAGAATCTAAACTCTAAAATTAAATAAAATTTAAAAACTAGAAAACATACATTAGATTGAAGCAATTTTCACATCTCATAGTGGTCGTCATGAGCATCAGCACAGTCTTTCCTTACTTTTTTAGGTCCTTCTCAGTTTAGCTTCTTAGCTCCTTTCACTTCTTACTCTGAAATGTGAGTGAGTTCCCGGTTTACCTTGCCGAGGTTACTGTAAGGATGTGCTATACACCAAAGTACACAAATTGGGGTCTGGCAGGCAGCATTAGGGCCCTAAGAAACATTTCTCTTTACAGACCACTGCCTGGCTCAACCCAGCAAAACCCAAAGACACACACACCCACGCTCTCTCCTCTGTTCTTCGTCCTCCCTCCTTTCCTTCCCAGTCACTGGACTGGCCTTCTTCGTGTCCCTCCCAGTGGCTAAATCAGGACCCCCAAACTCAGGTGCCTGATCCCAAATGGGATCCCCTAGGGGATCCCCAAATACTACGGCAATAAACTCAAGCACTCAGGGTGCCAGTCTGTAAATTAAAACCATACTGAATGTAGTACCTGTGTATCATTTATAAGTGTACACAAACATCATGCTACATACTGGCTGGTAAAATATGAACTCAGAATTGCTATGCAGGTCATTGCTGTGTGTGTGCGTGTGTGTATGTGTATTAAACTTTTCTGATGATTCAGGAAGTTTTATATACTAATGAGATTCATTTCCTTGTAGTACTTCTCACCTGTGGCAAACCTGCCACTTCTAATTTGTTTTAAAAGGAATTTTAATCACCCAATCAATCAAACTCTTGACCTTCAGCCTTCACAGCCACTTCTCTGTGGTCAAAATTGGCACTAAAAATTCATGTTGCAACAGCTCTGTTTTGCTCCAGCTCTAAAATGCCAGTGATGGGAATATAATTTGAGCAAATCCTCTGATGGATAAAAAAAAAAAAATAGTACAGAGTTTGTATTTTGTCTTCTTCCAGGATTCTTTAAATAAAAGTGAATACTCATCATACCATTAAATAAAAGCTTTTCCTCTACTGGATTTTGAAGAGATAGATAATCTAAGCTTCTATACAGTAAACCTAGTCTCTTTACCATAGAAATCACAGGGCCCAGTTTGGGTTTAAATCACTTACCTTTCTCTTCCATCCCATCTTCCTCTCCAACGTTAACCACACTGGCATCCACCTTCCGGCTTCGTCCTGTGCCACTTTAAAGCTTTCTTCTTGCCTAGGCCACATCTCCCGGCTCAGCAACTCCACACATGCACACACCCAGCTCCCTCTCACCAAAACCAGAGCCACCATTCCCCTACGACCCCATCCAGCCACAGTGGCTCCTTCACAGCCTTAGCTCTCTTCCCCAAGGGCAGAGATTTAAACATTAGACATTTCTTGTCTTCAACTTCTGAACCATCTACCTGCAAGCCCAGAGAATGCTGGGTTCCAGCCCACTTCCTGACTGCAGCGATTTCCTGTAGTAGCCCAGGAGGGCTCCTATGTGGTCTCAGTCCAAAAGACTCAGAGCGTGACTTACTGAGCACGCTGCACCACGTGGCACTTGCAGTCACATCCCCTTGGAAACTGTGCCTTCTCTCAGTGTTTAATGGCCCCTCCTGCTGCCTCCTTGTCACCTCTCCAACTGTCTCCTTCAAGGACTCAAATCCCTGATCAGTCGATCAGTCAGTGAGCCCAGAGTTTGGCTGTGCTGTCTTTGCGTCTTCTCACACCCTCTCTGGTCCCATCTACACACACAATTGCTTCAGCTGCTGACTGCATGTTAACGTAACGTCTCCGTCTCTACCCGTCTAGAGTCCCTAGGAATCTCAGTCCACACACGCATCGGTGTTGGCAGGACTCCTCTTCATGGTGTTCCTCGGTCATCTTAACATCCCAAATCTATTATCAACCGCCACCTGATTACTCCAGCATGAAGTCTAGGAGGCATTCCTTGTCTTCCTCCTCTCTTATCCCTCATGTCCAGTCAGTGGCCAGGCCTTGTGGCTCCTAAAGCCACGTCTCTCCGGGATGTGTGTGTACTGTCATCTCCTCCCTGTCCCTAGTTCAGACCTGCATCACTTCTCACCTACCAGTACCTACCACAAATTCAGTGCTCTACTGGCATCCGACACATGTACCTTTCACGGCAACGCGGGCTGACAAAATGATGTCTCACAATGGCACTTTGTTACTAAAAACTCCCTCGAAAAATCTACAGTGTTTTGCCTTCATAATTTATTTCCTAAATATTTGATAAGCCTATTCCTCTGCCATAAATACCTCTCCTCAAACATCAGCCATGTAGCAGCACACAGCTGTGCTAATAATGTAGCTTCCTCAGCCAAGAAAAGCTCTCCCAACCCTTTCACCTGATTAACTCCTGCTCATCATGGCAGCCTCCTGAAAAACATTTTTGACTTACTGTCTGGGTTGGGGAACCCTTGTTTCTGCTCTCATAGGTCCTGGTATTTCGTCCTCTCATACTGATCATCTGTATTACAGATTTTTTATAGTTGTTGCTTACAAATCTCTCTAACTAGACTATTTATTCTATGGAGGAAAGACACATATATCTTTTTCTTAGTGTCTCTCTCTCTCTCTCTCTCTCTCTCTCTCTCTCTCTCTCTCTCTCTCTGTGCATGTGTTCCTCGGCCATCTTAACATCCAAAATCTATTACCATCATGTTCATTTACTCTCTGAGTAAATGCTACCAACAACCACCTGTAAAATAAATAAGTATTCATATAAAAACTTATTTTTCAAGTACATCAAATATTTAATTCTAAAAGTAAAAATGGTAAATCTCTACCCCATCAGCAGTACCAGAAAGAAAAATTGTTATTTTTCATAAGGCAGATCTCCAACTTTATTTTCCTAGAAATTATAAAAGACAAAGGAGCTTGTTTTTCTTCCCAAATGAAATAATCTGGCAAGCCGGGGATTTAGTTCAGCGGCATAAGCGCCTGCCTTGCAAGCCCCTTGCAAGCGCCTGCCTTGCAAGTCATGAGTTCAATCCCCAGTACCAAAAAAAAAAAAAAAAAAATTTATAAAGAAATAGCCTGGGGAGTTGGCATCACCCCAGTTTCCTAGGTCTCAGCATTCACTTCCTGCCATACTCTTTGCCACTCTGTCTTCAAAGAAGAGCTTCAGGCAGAACTGGATTTGTGAACAAAGATTAGAAGATGTTCAACTTCTTCAAAAGCAGCATCTAAAATCCTAATAAACAAAGGACTCAAAGAGAGACAGTAGACTGCTCACCTTGGTGAAACCAAATTTCTTATATCAGATCACACCAGTAAGAATGACTAACCAAAATAACTAGGCACTTGCCAGGAAAAGGCTTTTTCCTAATGGTGAGGACACATCATACCAATATCTGAAATTATATACCTACTCTGAAATCTATGAAAGTCAAAAAGAACGTGGATTCTTATGTTGTGATTGTTCCAAGCTACCCAATGATTAAAAGAGGGATATTATCAAGATAGACCTCACTGATATCAACCAGTCATAAGTCATAAAAACAGAAGGTTAACTTACAATTTCAGTAGTTCAAGTAGAAAAACTGAGCTATAGTCCATGTAGGCACTTGCCAGTTGAAAAGCTCCTGTAGAATTTCACCTAAGCTGCCTTGGTTTTAAATCTTAAAAATCACAAATGTATATATTATACATTTAAATTGTCAATATAAACATTCAAATTATTTGATGACCTTTTGTTCCAGAGAATTGGCAATCCAAGTAGTAAGTCAAAGGCAATCAGCAGGAAATCAGTTTATGTCCACAGTATTGTACAGAATGTGCTTTCTTTAATCAGAGAAATCTCTGAATGAGAAAACATAAACTCAAGTATTAATGCTCACCCCGAAACATTACATAATAGCCAGCAGGTCAAGTAGTAAATGGATGTTAAAAGAAAACAATCTGACCCTAGGATTTCTACGGACAGCTCCAGATTCTCACACATAATAAAAAATATACCCAAAGCCAACTTTACAGGAGTTTTAGGAATGTAACACACAGAAATCTACTTCTTCTTCTTTTTAAAATAATTTCATATAAAAAAACAATTTCACACATAAAACTACCAATATTCAATAGCAATCCTGAAAATTTTATACTTTCTATTGTCTGGCAACAGAAGAGGAGCAGTTCTATTTTGGCTTTTCTCTAATTAAGAATTCACACAAGTATTTGACTTGTTAAATATCTAAGTCGTTCTATTGTTTCCAGTCTTTAAAGCAGTACTAGACATGACAGAACACACAGTTACAAAACTGAGTTACAAAAGTTACAAAATTCAGACTGAATCTCTCTAGTTTTCGTTTAACTCTAGAAATCCCCCACTCACCCCCCTCCAACAGTGGGCATTGAACGCAGGGCCTCACGCATGCTAGGCAAGTACTCTACTGCTGAGCTATAGCCCCAGATCCTTTTGTTCCATTTTGAGACAAGGTCTGAGTTGCCTAAGCTAGATTTCAATTTGTAATCCTCCTGCCTCAACCTCCTGTATAACTGACATCACAGTGTGTACCCCAATATCCAGCTTAACTCTGGAATTTACTCATGTGTATACTAAAAGTAACATCAGAGGTCAGCGATTTAGCACAGTGGCATAAGCGTCTGCTTGGCAAGCGGGAGCTCGTGAGTTCAATCCCTAGTACGAAAAAATAAATAAATAAATAACATCAAAATACTGTATTAATATTTTGTTACATTTTTAAAAACTACTTCCATTATTTCTGCTAAATTGGAAAGTAAGACCCAGAAGAGACAGTCTTCACACCCTATCATCCCTGTGACACTGCCAATGAGCAATGGGAAGGAATATCCTGGGCGCAGTGACATTCCCTGAAACATAAGGGCAGTTCTGGGAACAAAGGAGATTGGGGGAAGAAAGAAGGCACAAAAGAAACAGGAAATATTACAGGAGAACCTACTGGATACTCACGCCTGGGGGACACGCAGACCAATACCATATACTCAGGTCTCAGCATATACACATGTATTTACATATGCAAATTCAAACTGCATATGGAACAGACGTTATCAAATAGGAAAAATGAGAAATTTTTTAATACCATAAGGTGAAGACTTTCAGACTGACGTGTTAAAATTCTGGAGAACAAACAGTAGTAATGGTACAACAATGTATAATGCCACTAATGCTACATGGTTCATGACCTAATGACATTATTGTCATCCTGACTCCACGCTTTCCAGATTCTCTACATGGGACACTTGGTACGATGCCTATCTTTATAATTCCACAGTCATTTTAGTCCTCTGTTCCATTCACTGCAACTGATGTGGAGACATTCAACATCTTCCTTATAAACACAGAGACATTAACCACTGTGCTTTAAAATAATTACCTCCTCTGATTCACTCATATACGCCCGCAGACTGATGTTCCTAAGCACAAGGTCACTAAGCTTCCAAAGGTCAGGGTTCCACGTGGCCTCACAAAGTGCTCCTCATGAGTCCTGGTCCCTGCGTCTCCCAGGGACAGCATCGCACACTCCAGATGAAGGGAACAGTAGCAGCCCCAAGTCCAAACTGCAGTGGTCTCCGCCATCAAGACTGCCTGTCCCTTCACACATGAACTAATTAAAATAGTCAGGAGCCTCCAGCATGCACTCCAAATGCCACATTCTGTAGGAACATTTCCCTAACACCTGTCCAGGACTGGTCACGCCCTCCTCCCTATGTCATGGACTGTGTGTTTCTATAGCCCTTAGAATAGCTGCCCACCCATGCCAAGGGTAAGTCTCTCACCCCAGGACCGGGTCTCCTGCTCTGTTCCCCAGCAAATGAGCAGAGGAGACCATCCAGATCCAGCGAAGGAACACTTTCTTTCAAATCCCCAAAATTCTTTTTGCTTTTTAAATGATTAAAAAGCTATCTGGAATTCATTAGTTTAAATGCACTGATTTTGTACAGTTGCCCAATATCCACAGGGATATTATACTGATAAATTAGGACATATTAAAAACAATTACTAATTCGTTTTGCTTTTGGAATACCAAGCACATATGCAAGACAGTCAATCTTAGCACCTGTCACTTACAGGTAATTTTCTAGAATTACTGTCTTCTTAAATGAGAGTCTTGGGACACGTATGGAAGGTTAATGACGGCCAGGAGTGGTGACCAAATTGGATGGTATCTACCCTTTCCCAATGTAAAACAATTATGCATTTAGTTATCTACAGTCATTTTTAAAAGAGGTGATCCCTGTGGACACATATATTGTTTTAGACAATGACTATGAACAGGAATCTATCAATCCATCATCAAATTCAAACTGCATATGGAACAGAGGTTATCAAATAGGAAAAATGAGAAATTTTTTAATACCATAGGGTGAAGACTTTCAGACTGATGTGTTAAAATTCTGGAGAACAAACAGTAGTCATGGTACAACATGAACATGTATAAGGCCACTAAACTCTACTCATAAAAATAGTTAACTTCATGCTATACATTCTTCAATTTAAACATCCATTGTAAAGCACATCTTTGAAACATTGTTTTTAATACAGTAAAATCACAACTATACCTTCCTTTTATTTCTAATTTTGAGTCTTTAATAATATAACATAAAACATCAGCAGTTTAATTTTGATGGTTCTCACATATTAATTTTTAAGTTTATTCTGTAAATTCCTTATAAAATCTTACCTTCACTTGGAAAGTGCTAATACATTATCCAAGTTTAATCTGACAGTTATTTTTTAAATCCTATGCTCCAGGACCAAGCCACGCTAGGCAGCAGTCCGCAAGGTAGCTTGTATTATACAAATACCTGCTGACAGCAATTAGACATGCAATGGAAACCGGAAGGCTTGAATGTGAAGTGAAACCAATTCTTACTCCCTAATGAGCCACCCCTAAAACTTAAGCCCAAACTGTTACACTGCAACTTTAAAATAAAAAAGAATGGGAGGAAAATGCAGTCTGCTAACCTCAGATTGTTAGTGACAAAGATTTTCTAAACCTGTTACTTCTCAGATAAACCATAAAGCATCCCCAGTGAACTATATACACGGTACTACATTTTGATGGCCTTTTTCAGCTCCAGAAGTTATCTGTGCTTAAGGATACAGAGTCAATTTATTCATCACAAATCAATAAAGTCATTCCCAAACATGTTCTAAAATGGTAGGCCACTGGCCACATGGCCTCTTTAAATTTAAATTTAAGCTAAATGTAAAACTCCGTTCCTCTGTGGCACTAGCCACATTTCAAGTACCCAAGAGTCAAATGTGGGTTGCCACACTGGATGGTGCAGATATAAAATGCTCCCAGCACCAAACTGCCCCACAGTCAGAGGTGCTTTTGGCACTCTGTTTTGGAAGTGATCACAGCACTTTCATTCATTTGAGTGTCCGCTAAGCTGTTATGTGATGGATACTATGCTGGTTGCAGACATGGGACAGCAAAGGAAACTAACAATTCCCATAAGAGATCATTAGAAACCTTAAGAATAGGTACAGAGGCCTTAGTTTTAGATAAATATA